TGCTAAAATATATTTTTACTTGTAATTAGAGCATAAGAAAAAATTACATATATAAAAAGAACACCGATGTCCCATTTACGTCAAAAAGTTAAATCGAAGTAATTTTCAGTGTAGAAAGGTTATTTTATTAAATTCTTGTTCTAAATAAATATTTTAATAAGAAAACATACCTGTTTTAATCCGACTATGTTGGATAAAACCGGTGTTTTCATATTTCCAAAATAATTATTATATCTTCCAAGATATATATATTTTTTTATTGTAAATAATATTTATCTCGGAACTAACGAACTAATTTATCATTCAAATAAAAATTTAAGCAATTTCAATCGCGTTGCTGCTTTTGAGGGGAAATGAAAAAATTTGAGACCCGGTTTTTTTTCCAACTGTCCCTTTTCCAATAGGACAATACTTTTTTTCTTTCTTTCTTTTTTTTAAAAAAAAAAAATAAAAAAAAAAANTCATACTTTTTTTCTTTTTTTTTTTTTTTTAAAAAAAAAAAAAAAAAAAAAGAAATGAAGAACCTTGAAGAGAAAGTTCAGGATCATTTTACGAAAAACATGTTTAAGAAAAATAATAAAATTTCTGAGTAATTGTCGCATTAAAGAAGGGGGGAGGGGACACTACACTTGGCAGGAATTGCGCAATAATCAAAGGGAGAAAAAACTGGGAGGTAATCAATCTTATCTTTTTGGAGTAGGAATAAAATACTTCTCAAAAAACTAGTAATTTCGGAATGAAATTTGACCGTTAAAAAATAACTTGAGGTTATACCAACTGCTTGGCAATTCCCAATTTAATATAACGACTAACGTATGAAAAATACTATCGCTTTAAGAAAAAGTTAGAGTACTAGTTTTCTCGCATGAGAAGATTCTGAAAGTAAACAAAACTCGGGAATTCAATCATGAGGTAGATTTTGATGGTTCGAGGTAAGATTTTGTTGAAAAGAAAGAAAAACTTCGTTCCGTTTCAATGCTAACTCTAATGATGAGTTTTTTTTTCTTGTAATCATCGCTTTTGTGTGAATGATTACTTCAAATGCAATGAAAAAATATGTGTGAAAAATTATTCTCTCTTTGAAAAGAAGATTTCAGTGAAAACAATGCTTTCGTTTTTCTTTGTTGTTACTTTATTGGGATAATTACCGTTTTTTCCCCTGTAAACTAATGTTTAAAAAATCATCCTTCTATCGCTCAAAGGGAAATACCATATAGGGCAGTTCACAAATGATGTCATACTCTTTTTATTTCTTTTTTCCCTTTGTCACTAAGTGTCATACTTCATTATACCTTTACCTTTTTGTCACATGTTAGAATTTTAATTCTTAGATTATGGTATAATTACTGAAAGCAGTTTGTCCATCCAATTAACCGTAAAGTTTATGGTTGAGAAAATTTTTTACCTTTTCGGGTTAAAACCGTTAACAACTACAGTCAAACCCCGCTATTGTGAACAGTCAAGGGACCGAAATTTCGGTTCACTATAACCGGGAATTTACTACATCCGTACTGCAAACAGTTTTAACTAATTTTTCCGAACTGCTCCCTTTTATTACGCATTATTTAAATAAATCACCAATAAAACGAATTACAAAAATGATTAAAAAACAATATGTAGTAACAAAAAATGCGTTAACTTTTATTTTTTTATTACTCTCCCTCTTGCGTATAAAAAATTTATGCTACATTGCACTCAATAGATGGTTTTAAAAATCGCTATACGTATTTTATGTAGAAATTTCAAAATTACCAAAAAATGAAGAAAAAGAATCAGTAGACAGAAAAAAGTTCATAATATCCAATTTCCTGTCTTCTTATTGTTTACTATATCCACAAAAAATAATATTATATATGTGTAGCAAGGCACGGGAGCGAACATTTCGTTCACTATATACGGGAGTTCACTATAAACCACGTTCACTATAACGGGGTTTAACTGTAATAAGATTATATACCTTGAATACGAAATTATACGGTTTTTTAACCATTTACAACTAGCATAGTTTCAAAACCGTAAAAAATGATTTAACTGAGCGTTGGAACTAAACTTTTTGCTACGTAATAGGCATTGAAGAATGCAGGACGCGGGAAACTCTTCGTCTGCTGAAGGGAAAGGAGAAAGTATCGCGGTGTCAACGCTTGGACTCGAACACCGGCTTCCGTCGTCCTTGAGACTGACCCGTCTTGGCTATAAGAACTACGCAGTTGCAAAGAGCTAAGTGGCTTCATTAGGTGAGCTTATCTGGTGCGATAAAATTCTGGCTGTTTTTATTTGAAGAAAGCACTTACTAAACGGTTTTTCTCACAGGTAACATATTGAATACCGTCTAATTTATAGTTATTTGACTGTCTTGTTTAAATATGATAAAATAACAATTAAATAAATTTTTATTTAACCATTTTTTTACTAGAAATTTCTAACAATGTGCATTAAATTACATAAACATATACTTTCAGTTCGGAAATTACGTTGTAGTAGTAAAAACTATGTTTTTAGAATTTTAACTACATGTTAACGACATTTGCGGTGGAAAAAAAAGTATGGTCTAAACTATATGAATATGGTAAAATCGACAGTGCTTCTGGTTCGTTGGGAACATCAAGAAGCTAGAATTTTTAACGAAGCTCTTTGGTCGTGATTTCGGTTAAATTAACAAAAATGATTTTCTAATACGCGATACATTTTAAATATTTATGTAATTATAGTGATTCGGTGATTTTTTTACTAGAATTATCACTGAAAAATTAAGGTGTATTACATTTTTTGTTCCCCAACATTTTCCGGTAAAAAGTACCAGCACCCTAAGGGCCGATTCTTTTCATTGTAATTTGATTTGGAATTTTTTCTACAGTGTCTAGTTCCGTTTTTAAGTAAAATCAATTATTTTCAGCGAGACAGAATATATAAACAAACAAAGCTTTAATTAATATTTAAAGCAATCAAACGGAGCCGTTTTTCCATGTCAAATCGTAAAAAACAAAACCTAGACGTATAATTTAAATATTGAAAAAAAGGAGAAAAATAAGAGAAAAAATTCTAAAATATTGTTTTTATTATCTAAAAAATATTTTTTTACGAAAAAATTATAAAAACTATTTGTTTAATGTTCTATTGTTTAATGTTCTGTTCAAGCGATGCTTTAAACAATGATGCATTTTCTAATTAAATAGAAAAACATTGCGTCTAATTCATTCAAATTTTCCATAATTCTTTTTAAAACGATCCGTAGAATAAATGTGAAAGTGAAACAAGTTCTTTTGCGGAAAACAGACGATAGATTAGAAAACAGACGATTTTAAACAATATAAAAATGAATTTCACACTTCAATAACAAATACTAAAAGTTGCATCTTTTCACAACAATAAATTGAACAAAAACATAGGCGGAAATAACGTTGACAATATTGATAAATAAAAGAGGAAGAAACCATATATGGTGTCGGAAGATTTCAACACAAATCTCTGACTCAGACATGCTCAAAGTAAGAGTTCTTCCATTTTTGGAGAGCTTATTTGCGTAAATATTTAAATCGGAAATGTTTGCAAACGTCTCTGTTTGTTAATTTGTTAAGAGATTTATTTAATTTAGAGCTGCCTGGATTGTGTAAGATGTATTTATCGAAGAGATTAAGTTTATTATTATTAATAAATATTATATTGTAAACAAACAAGTGTTTTTCCATGCAAGTGATATTAAAAATAATTGATGAATATGAGCTAAATAATTTACAGTGTACATTTTTCTTAAAATTATTAGCTGATATACATTACTTGATTAAAAACTTTATTCGCTACAAAAATGGGCAAATTTGAAATAACAGTCGATATGTTTCAAGCTCTCAAAAATAGGCGCACATTTTCAAGACATGCCAGACGCCTTGACCGTAAATGATTTAAATAAATGATTTTTATGCCATGCTCTACGCTGTCATGATAAATTACCAATCTTGCCACAATTTCCAAATTTTGTCGCACGTTATAAAACCATATTTAATTGTTAATTTTACCAGAATCATTACCGAAGCACTTCGGTAAAAATTACCGCGCTTTTTGGTGTTCCCATAAAGCCAGGAACACGGTAAATTTTACCACATTCTGGTATTTTTGACCATACTTTTTCTCAACATGGCTTTATTTCTTTATAAACTTTTTTTTTCAGCATAACTTGCATTTGAAATAGACAAAGCGAGATATTTTATTAATGCTAGCACTTTACACTAGAATTTGACTTCTGGTTATTAATTTTTCCTTTAAAAAATAAAAAAAAATTGGCTTTTTTTTCGAAAGATTTTTCACTTTAGACTTCATCGGAAATTCCTTTGTTTTTATAGAATGCCACAGTTATATTCTTTATTTATACTAGTAATTCATATTAGAATTTGGTATTTAATTTTTTTAATTTTCTCCTTTTTAAAAAAAAAATCTATTTAGAAAAGATTTTTAACTTCGTCTAAAATTTTATTCGAAGTTGATGCAGCAAAAATAGTGTTTTGACCGAATTATTACCTGGAAACGACAAAATTTATTAGGTGAAGAAATCAGTATACCAACTCCTCATCTGTTCTTCGGTTCTAAAGATAGCCTAAGAACATGAGTTTGCCTTTTTTTACCCCAAAACTAAGAATGAACTTTAGAACAGTTTCATATTGCGAACATCATCATAATTTTTTATGCATATTAGCAGAGCATGAAATTTCAGTTCTAGTGCTAATAATAGGTGCTAATAATGTGAGGTAATATTTAAGGTGCTAATAATAGTTTTTAATAGATATTAATCGATAATAATAGTTTTTCCTCCTCTATTTTCAGGAAAAAAATCTGAACATTTTTTTAAATTTTAACAGATGTAGTTTAAAGAAAATTTTCAGTAATAAAAATCACAAATAAATGTAGAAACTGAAAACTTAGAATAGTACAAAATATTATTATCTGCTGCAAATTTGAGAAACTCGATCAACACTCTTCACAGCTAAATTGTAAAAACAATAAAAAAGACTGCAAAAACACACTGTAAATTGTAAAAACACTACACATTGTAACACACTGAACACATAGTGTAAAAACACTACACTGTGGTGTAATAACTCTCCAAATTTGATGTTGAACAACTCTCAAAAAATTATAACAAGGAACACTTTTTTTCAAATTATCCCCAAATCGAGCTTTCGTATTCAATTTAAATGACGTATGAAAGCTCTAAACACCTCAAATGCAAAAGGTTTATACTTAAATCACGCGCCTTCACGTTAAATATTTTTGTTTCCGAAAACTCCAATACTGCCCCGTTTCGGACATTGTCGAATGTTTCGAATCCATTACGAGCAAGCGAGTGCTTGTTGTTGTCTGCTTTTCATCTTCAAAAACTAAAGTTCGTCATTATACCATGTATGTATGCTTTTAGTTGCGTAATAAAGGTATTTATATTTTTAATTTTAAGTCACTTTTATAATTTCTAATACTTAAATAATAATTCTACACTTCATAATTTCTATCCTCTTCTGCTCTGTTAAGCCTACTTCGAGTTCTCTCTGTGCTATGCGTATGTTTGATTTAGAAACTAATTACTGATAAAATACTGATTCTTACTTTATATTGTCCCTTAAAACTAATTTTTTTGATTCTTATGTGTATCAAGTCTGACTGTTATTATAAATTTTAGTATTACTGAATAACAAATATTGTGGAGATAACTTTACACCAAGTAGTGTAAAAGAATATTCTAGAAGTTATCTACACCAGAAACTATTCTTGTTTTTTGGAATAGTTGAGAACCACTTTCGTGTTTAGATACATAATTTTTTTTTTTTACTGTGTAGCATCTAAGTCGATGTGTTAGTGAAGAGAACATAAACTTGAATTCTGCAAATGCAGTATCCAGTTCTTCATTACAGAGATTTGGGTTTAATTATATAAAAATCATTTTAAATCCTCTGACTATACAAGAATTTTTTTTCTTTGGGTGGACTAAGTGCCAAAAACATGCAGAAATGCTAAAACATCTGATGACATAGATTTCAGTCTTTTTGTGATGGGGTCGAAATTAGAATTGAACGAAATTATATTTTTGCTTGAATATATTTGCGATTTCTTGGAATAATGATGTAACTGATATTCTAAAATTAACAAAAATACTGATTGAAAGTGATAAGTCAAAATTGTGGGAAATTCAGTTGTGGAAAATTCGGTTGTGGAAGTCCAGTACTGATATTCTGAGACAAATCAAATTTTTTTGGATATTTTAATAATAACTACATTTTTTTTAATTAAAAAAAATTATGTCAAACTGTACCATAGTATTATCTACAGTTTGATGCTGGAAATTTTTCTCGATAAAAACTATCAAGGCAGTACGTAAAAACATATTATTGTCTACATGAGAATCGTGGTTTTTCGTCTGTATTTAAGAACAATCCATTCATTCTTAGAGAACAAATAATTGAATTAAAAATCTGAAATTTTGTATCATTGAGATATTTTTTAAATAACTATTCATATTCATGCTATTAATTATGTTTAAAGTTTGTGTAATTTGAGCAAAAGTTTGTTTAAAGCAAGCATTTTTTCCGGGAAATCAATTCTCATTGGTACGACAGCCCGGTGTGGGCTTTAGCCTTCTCCAGAACATTTCTCTTTGTCACTAAATCTTGCCAACTCAATACCCAGATTGCTTTGAAATTCGTGTTAAAAGAGTTCATCTATCATATAGAAAATCAATAAGTTAATAATATATATTAATAATATATCAATATATATATCAATAAGTTAATATATATCAATAAGTTAATAATATATATTAAGCTATTTGTGTGATAATATTTGTAATATAAGCACTTCTACCAGAAACTATTTGTTAATTAAACATGTTATACGAAAAAAAAATCTGTTTAGTCATATATTCAAGTATTCAAATGCGTCTCCCGCAAAGTTTTCTCCATTTATTTCAAATGTTATCTACTTAAGTAATAAGACGGATTACTTCGCTGCGCATCTATGCCAAGTTACTGGCATAAAAACACAGTTCGGCGATGGTTTCTGGTAGATCTACTATATTTAACAGTTTGTTGGCAAACACGAGTTCTGATAAGATTAAGATGTAAATACACGTTCTCCTTATAGTTTCAAACCTATATCTGAGATGACTATTTTTAACACCAGCACTTATGTTTTTCTCAGAAGATTAAAAATCAGTAATTTTCTTGCATTTAAAAAGGCAATAATTCTGTAAAATACTCAAAACTATTACTGTTTTATTTGGTACAATTAACTGCAGTCAGACCCCGCTATAGTGAACACGGTTTATAGTGAACTCTCGGATATAGTGTACGAAATGTTCGCTGCCACATATAATGTTTTTTGTAGATATAGTGAACAAAAAAAAAAAAAAAAGTTGTACATAATGAAATTTTTTATGTCTTCGAATGATTTTCTTCATTTTTTGTAATAATTTCGAAATTTCTACTTCAAAATAAATACATATACCGATTTTTAAAACCATTTATAGCGTGGAATGCAGCAACAGGCATTTTTTCTTGTTTGCTTCATTATTGAATAGCATTATTGAATTGGTTTAGCATTCAAAGAAGCCGCAATCTTCCAGTATCTGGACAAATGCTACAAGTCAGGCCGGGATAGCCTGGTCGGTAGGGTGCTGGGCTCATGTCCAAGAGGTCGTGGGTTTGATCCCCGCCGGCCGAAGACTCCCCGTGTAGTAAATGGTGACTGATGCACGTTAAATCTGTCGAGTCTCAAAGTCCTCCATGTTCCCATAACAAATCAATACCTCTGGGGGTACTGATCCTGGAATTTCCTTGTCTTCTGGATTGGTTCAAAATTACAAGGATACGGAGTTGAACATTAGTAGTCGTAAACCCATGAAATTGGGCCGGCTGTTCAACGACGGTTATAATATAATAAATGCTACAAGTCAAAGCCGATAAATTTGCTAAGCGATTTGGTGAGACAACTTTTATGTGCTCGAATGGCTGGTTAGACGGGTTTAAAAAGCGGAATAACATAATTTCAGGAAAAATGATCGGAGAGTTGGGAAAAGTGTTTCCATATCTGATGTTGAGGATTGCTCATCAGCTAAAGATTACTAATTTTTTTTGTATGCAAGATGAAGAGCAATGAAAAATATAAGTTAACACATTTTTTTGATACTACGTATTATTTTTCAGTCATTTTTATATTTCATTTTATGGGTCATTTATTTAAATAATGTGTAATAAAAGGGAGAAGTTTTGACCCATTAGTTAAAATTACTTGCAAAACGGATATATTGAAGTCTCGGTTATAGTGAACCCTTGAAGGTTCACTATAGCGAAATTTGACTGTATTAAGATTTAACTTGGCAAACGTGTGATGCTCAAAGTTATTGTACAGAAAGTGAATTACAATACTGTAGATATTTAAATAGTTACTTTTGAAGGTTAGAGAATATATCAATATAGTGATAATTCATAATTTTTCAGAGTTGAAGTATGCACGTTAAGCTGTTTCTCATTATCGTTTCCGGATAGTTACTCGACGAGTTTCCAGATATTACATTAGATAACTGAACAATTACACAGAAACATCTTATTACCGACATAAAAATCGTGTTTTTTTTCCTCTCAAAAACACTTCTATAAAGTATTTTAAATCTCCATATTCATTTAAAAAAAATTAAATTTATTCAATTTTTTTCTCTTTTCTTTGTCACATGCAATACAGGTTTGCTGTGCATAGTTATAAATAATATTTATATTTCATGGGGCTATCTTAGAAACCGTGAACCAATTTGTGTAAAAGCAATTTATTTTTTATTCTTTATTTTTTTTTTTAGATCGACAAAATTCTGCGGACTTATTTACTGACTAAATTCTTTCCTCTTTTATTTAAATTTTTCAATTGTGAAAATTTTTTCCGATCTTTTGTATTAACTAGCTCAATTTGACTTGAAATTCTTCTTCTTCTTATTATTATTTTTAAACCTGTTTAATACTAAACATACCATAACTGGTCAAATGACCGTTTAAGATTTTTTGCATTGAAAATGCTCTTATCATCTTATCGTTTCTGCAAGTTTGACGTCATGACTTTTTCTAACAATTATATACAGCTAATATTCTATTATTATCATTTTTTTGTATTTTGTTTGTTTCGAATAATACTTGCCGTTTACATATTTCTACCACAACCGGTCATTTGATCGGGAGAACAATTTATTGCTTTATAACAGGGGTTTCCAACTTACATGGAGCCGGGGGCCACAATAAAAAACGCAAATCAAATGGCGGGCCGCAACTCTATCAAAATTTTATGTAGGACTCCTTTATGTTTGAAGGAACATTAAATATTACTGTCAGATTTTTACCAAGTTGTACAAAGCAAAAGTATTAAATTACAAATTAAAATAAGAAGTAGATTTTTAAAATTATTTAATTGTTATTAATAATATTTTTAAAAATATTAAATAAATAATAAAAATTCGGGCTACAATAACTTTAATGTGCACCTATGTATTAAACAATTGCAACAGATATCTAATTGTTAAGATATAAAACTTTAAAAAGGTTAGTATTAAAACTTACATAGTAACACATAAAATGTTCAATGACAAAATTGAGGTTTGTCTGCTGCAACCACCAGAGAATAGATATTTACATTTTAAATTTAAAATTTACAAATGTGTGTGTAAATATTTTCGTCCAAAAT